TGAATGTTTAATAGGAATATTCCAGACCTATTTTAAAGTTTCAAGGAACAAATTTAGATGTAGGCCTACGGCCAGGCAGGAGGCCGCTCGGGCCTGCTCCTTCTACTACTAAGCCGTAGCCTAGCCTAGTTATGAAATCATCACACGATTTTACCTGTCTGCATGCACTGACCAAAAAGGAAGTCAGTGACTGTATTCTCTCTCGAATGCTGAAATGTTTATTTCTTTGACGAAAGTCTATCAAAATAGCATTACAAACAAGTTCTTTCTAACACAATAGTTATTCATCATATACTGTACTGCTGATGTGTAGTTAATACAACGCATACTGCAGGAGCAAAAATCAGCATACGCACAGCTAAATGTAAATACGTACACGTATACTGATCATATCACTATAGCGACCGATGACTGCTACAACAGTTGGTTATAAAAGACTAAAATTAAAAGACAGCGACTGACTTATAAAGCAATTTGTAGAGCATGCATCATACACTAAATGGAAAATTATTATACTTAGGTTAGATTTAATGCATTCAAAAAATGTTTCAAGCATTAAATCTAACATTCGTATAATAATTTTCCTATAGTGTACTATGCGGAGCTCTACTAATTGCTTACTATGTTAAATATCTAACAAATACTTTAACATTAATTCCCATTGGAGCCTGATTCGCCCTTTCAATATGGAATTGCGTTAAATTTGGGTGGGGATGACCTTATAGCCAAGGACCAAAACAGTCCTAACATATGTGGTTAGTCGAATATGCAAAATATGAATGTGCCAGCAGCCTAAAAATAAAATGTTTGTTTTCTTTTTTTTAACTTTCAAACAAATTTTCTTATTGAGTGTGTAAAAGCCGTCGTCAAAACAACAACAAGTAAAACATTCCCAGGCATGGTTGATTTCCACGATCAACCATATTATGGAGCCAGGACTGTGCTTTTATCACATTATTCAGCAACCATATAATAATAATAATAATGAACCTATTTACAGCAGATCTTAATTCTAATATTAACTTGGCACTTCAAATGTATTTTATTTGTGGGTGATACAAAAACTAATTCAAATTTGCATGGAAAAATCTAAAAAAAAGAGGCGCAGAATCTGCGTTGTATATCAAGGCCTCAATTGTCTGCAAAATTTCTGCGGAAATCAGGTAATCTTTTCAAATGGGGGAACGGATTGATTCGGCCTAATATTTTTCGCGGGGGATATTTTACAGGCTGGCCCATCCTCATTTCATTCATATTGCAAAACAAAAATTGCTTATCTTTTGACAAAGGACAAGCACGGTATATAACTTGAGGGATGAATTCCATGTCTGTAGGTAATACAGTAGAATCATGGACCTATTAATAGGTCCATGGTAGAATCTTTGAGACTGAATTTTGAGACAGAAATGATTCATTTATATAGGCCCTAAACCCTCAATTTGAACTAACTTTAATAAGCTTTGTATTTTATGTACATTATCCCCATCACTTCGAAGTGAATGATGTGTTAAAGCCCCCTTTAAGGTTTTTCTTGGAAAAAAAATGCATGCATTACTTTAATTATTATAAACCATGGAAAAATATTGGCATAAATTTTAGTTTTACGCAAAACAAAAAAAAAAAAGAAGAGAAATACAGACTATTTCTCACTGGAGAAATACAGACTCTTCCTCATTGGAGATTACTATTTTCTCGACAAATTCTTCGTTACTAGGCAAATTTAGAGGTTGCAGGTTGCATCCGTTAGAATGCTCTCGCTTTTATGTATACTTTGACTTTATACAGTCAATAAAGTGCGCCCTTTCTAATGAGAATAGTTTTTGTACTTCGAGCTCGCACACTGCGGTCGATCGAGAGGCCTGAGATATGTTTGTTTAATTGTCAAAATCTTGGTCAGAATCATTTTTTTAAAACAAATTTGAAATAATTCCAATGAAATATTAGATTTCACAAGTGTCAATACTAGCAACGGAAAATATCATATCGGCCGCTTTTATGTGTGGTAACAGAACCTGAATCGTGGTAAGGCTAGGCCTAGTCTAGCAGTGTTGGCAGTGTTGGATAGGCTAATGTTTCTGGCGCCTAGTATATTTCTTCACAGACCTATCGCAAAATCAAGCATAAAAAATTCATCCACATTTACTTTTTGTGTGGAACACAAAAATCTTTACAACATATATGAAAATCAGATTTTTCTTAACAACTGAAAATTTGCCGGGAATAGGGCTTTAATTATTATGACAACTTCAAAATCCAATAAAAAATAAAATAAATAAAAAATAAAATAAAATGAAATAGAGTTCTCCTATACCATTTTATGATGATATTAGACAGAATAAAATAAGCAGAATGAGAGAATTATCCAACTCTCTATTGTTCTTGCTTATACTTCAGGCATGAGGGCAAAATATCTGTGGAAATCGGCTCATATTTTTGAAATGCGGCGACGGATTTTACAGCCTCACACATCCTCATTTTATTTATTGCAAAATAAATAAAATTGCTTACCTCTCAACAAAAGACAAGCACAGTAAGCCTAATACAACTCTGAGGATAGGCCGAGGGGACGAATCCCTTCCTGAGAATCTCCGAGACGGCGACATTTTTGAGACGTGAAAATGATTCATTTATAGACCATAAACCCTCAATTTTAACTCCAGTTTTACAAGATTTGGATTTTATATGCACATTACCTCCACATAAAAGTGAGTGATTTTTTTAATTACTTTAACAACTTTAAATCCAATTTAACTAACCTTTCTTTGTCTGTCTAGCTTGCCTTCCCACACGTGCAAATGAATTAAATAGACTAGGCCTTTTTTTAAGTCTGCCTAATGGCTGCTGTTCATATTCGTACTCGAAAGTAATTACCAGTCTTGAAGTCCAGACAATTCATGTTGTCCAACTCAACTAATCAACTAATGGCTGTGCACCCAAAGTCTTTAAATATGTCTGGTATGTATAGACTAGACCAGTGCGAATTTATATTTTTAAACAGACCACATGCAGCAGGCCCAGACGGCTGATGGCTAACAGGTATGATATCGTGAGAAAATATGTGCCTGCTGTAGGACTTACGACAGATTCATTTTCAACATTTACTGCAGAAAATAACAAATTTTTTATTGAGTTAGGCCAAGGACTTTTAACTGTTACCAGGATAGGAAGCTGGTGGTTTAAGCCGTCTAACTTGAATTAGCCTTATATGCGGTATTGTTATGCAAATGAGCCAGATAAGCACAATCTGCACATGCTCAGAAAAACAAAACTTTCCTTAGTCACACCATGGCCACACTGCGTATCGGCTAGGCGTACTCTAGGCCTAACCGAGAATTACGGTACGGTAAAACAAAGCACAATAAGGGTACTAATTTCAATGGCATGCAAGTCAATCATACTTACACACTTAAAAACAAACTAGTGTACCAATAAAATCACCTGCAAGTTAAGATATAATGCAAGTATGTCTACAAATTTGATTTTAAATTGATGTGATTAGGCTAGCCTAGACCCGGCCTAGGCCATGTCTAACCGCTTATAAAAATGCAGAAAAAAGACTCAAAACAAATTATTATGAAGTTATCAACTAACTAGTGCATTAAAATTATTCATATACTTACTACTTAACTATATAAAATTAAAATGTATTGCTCACAAACGAAAATATTTGGATTTTAATACGCCTTTTCCACGAATTTGTAGACATCTTGAAGTGATGACAAATAGCCTAAGTCAGTGGTGCGTAACAAACAAAATTAAGATAAGCTAGGCCTAGCAGCTGTACGTCTAGCCGATATGCAGTGTGACTAAGGAAAGTTTTGTTTTTCTGAGCATGTGCAGATTGTGTTTATTGAAGTGATGACAAATAGCCTAAGTCAGTGGTGCGTAACAAACAAAATTAAGATAAGCTAGGCCTAGCAGCTGTACGTCTAGCCGATATGCAGTGTGACTAAGAAAAGTTTTGTTTTTCTGAGAATGTGCAGATTGTGTTTATCTGGCTCATTTGCATAACAATACCGCACATAAGGCTAATTCAAGTTAGACAGCTTAAACCAGCCAGCTTCCTATCCTGGTAACAGTTAAAAGTCCTTGGTTAGGTCTACATTTTTTCTTTTAAACCGTCCATAAATCGTGGGAGTCTTGGTGACTCAAAGTTGATGCACACAGTGCGGTGCGTAACCATGGCCTAGTCAGTTTTCTGTTTGATATCTCTTTGTGCACCGACAATTTGTTAATAAAATAAGATGCGTATAATTGACAAGAATCTGATTTTTTATAAGTACTGTGAAATCATTACGCATTACATGGTGAAGTAGCCTATTCTAAGAGTGCTTGTCCAAGGACAAGTGGTCCCTAAAATGCTTGTTGTCCGACCGTAAAAACACTTTTCCTGGGTATCGGGCAAGTGGGTTCGCTCATGCCTGTTTTTAGAAGAGAAGACAATGGAATGAGATTTTGTCTGGATGAGAAGACTTACGGAATTGTTTTGTCTGGATAAGACAGTTATCCAACAATGATTTGGGATTTGTCTGAATAATCAAATTTTATACTAGTTGAACTACGGAATCAAATTGTTTAAAATAATAAATTTTTTTCAATATTCGTATATAATTCTTAAAAATATCATTTCTGCTTTTTCACAGAAACTAAAACTGAATGGAATTTGTCTGGATGAGAAAATTATGGAATGAGATTTGTCTTAAAAGAATTATCTGACCATCCACAGCTTTTGCTTCCCACAGGAATGAGAATAGAGATGAAATCAGATTTGTCTGAATGCAAACATTATAAAACGTTCACTGCTGAAGCTACAATAGGAATGAGAATAGAGAGAATGAGATTTGTCTTGATAAACAAGTAACAATTCTGTCCCAATGATCAACTAATCAAAATGACAAAACAAAAAGAGTAATAGTGTGCAAAAGCATGCTAAATATCAATATGGAAAAACCAGCGCAGAGAGATCCAGCAAGTGATAAATATATACCTCCACCACTCACCAATTAAACCAGTTTTATAGCCAGTTGTTAACGCTAACTCAGCAACAGTACTTTCATTGGGCGGTAGCCCTGAATTGCAATTGATGAAAGGCACAATCCGTAGCATATTAAAGGATACCATGCCTGAAATACAAGAGTATATTTTACTGAAAAACACATCTAACACATTGAGAAAACTTTTTGTTTGCCTATACTTACCAATCAATGCAGTGTTATAAGATATGCTCTGTGCTAATTCTGCAATAGTTGTTTCATTGGCCGGTAAGCCAGCTTTAGCTGACACGAACGAGACAACACGTATAATACTGTAGGCTGCCATCCCTGTTTAAGTCACAGGAACACAAATTTCAAATAGTATTAGAGAAAATTAATGTCTGAAAATATATTCACAAAACAAACTTTATACTTATACACAAAAGATATACAGTCTGTGATGTTAAAACTTAAATACAATTAATTTCTTTAATTGAAGGGAGTTCTGCTAATAAGATAAGACTTTTGAACACAGCACTAAACAAGAAATATTTCTTATCAAAAAATGCCGCAACGTCTGACTAGTTTGTATTTCCAAAAAAATTAACGTATTCTTGAGGATGACCTATCATCTTCAATGCATTTCGTTTATGGTATTACATAAAGAAACATAAAAATAATAGCCTACAAGTACAGGAACTGGTTTACGAATGGTTAACAATTGCCACTGTATTATTTACATTTGCGGTCACAGGATTAAAATAACAAAAAGAATACTATACAGTATTGTACATTAGAAATGTGGTAAGTATAAAATTCATAAACCAGCGTAATACCGTAATTGGTGTAGGCCTACCATACAGACTTTCTTTAGGTTTTGTTCTTACGATTATTGTTGAATTATTATTATTATCACATCCATCATTGTTGTTATCATCCATCATCATAAAGTTATAATCATTTACCATTCTCCATCATTATGGATGATGATTTATGAAAGAAGACAGTGATGGTGTCAATTTTGCATTTTTCTAAAAATATTTTGAAATATTTCAATACAATGTCAAGACCCAAATATCTGATCTAACAAACTGTACTTTTCAGAAATATAAAGCTTTCATATAATTTGCCCAAAAACATAATTTTAAAGAATTTCTCAGTAAGCATTAAGATTTCACAGCGAAATTTTTATTAGAGCAATAAATTGACACAAAAATTATTTCAATAAACCAAATTTCATGTGTTTTCAATAGAAAACAAACATTGAGGTTAAAGGTCAGAGGTCATATCATATTTCCAGTAACTTGGATTTTGTACCAGATAAATGTGTTTAACCACTATGCCACACTTCACTAGGCCTACTGTAACATCTCAAACACTTTGAGTACACTATTAGGAAATAGAAGCCGGAGGAGCATTATTTCCTGGAAAAATTGCAGCAGGGCTGAAGGCTATCTAGTCCGTGCCCTGTCGCACTGTGCCCATATGCTACAGAAAAAAAAATCAAACTCGCTGGCAGGTAGTTGAGTTCTGAGGGCTCAGAACAACAAATTGTGCCAGCTGTTGTCGTGACTAGTCTGCAATGCTTTCAGCAACACAAACTGTGTTAGATACGATTTTATTAAAAGTTCATTAATTTAAAAATTATGAAGTAAATTTTATTTCAACTTCAAATCGAATCTCTAATTTTAATTTCAACTAAGGAAATATTTTTTTTAAATTGTGATGCTATTTATTGTAAATTTCCTGATTAGTGAAATATTAATTATGTAAATGAGCAATTACTCATACGTACAAAAAAACACTAGGCTCCGTCTTTAGTTATATGAAAAAAAAACATGGCTCCTTTGTGGAGGCTAATAATTAATCTCTGTACCTCTCATCAGTCCATCGACTGGATATTTGAAATCACATGTACCATTTTTTCACATAAGTAGCTGTTCCTGAAAAACTATCCAAATCTCATGGGATAATTTATCTGATTGGACCTTGTTTCCGCAGCAAAATATTATAAAATAGCTGCCTTCCGATAATTTATCGGGTAGTAGGTGCTGTTGAAACACAGCCTAAAAGGGTACTTGCCTCAGACACCACCTTGCTGCTTTGGTGTCCCTGGACCTCTGGCTACATTAAGAACCTGCATCCCATAAGGAATCATGGTTACAGGTCTGACTTTACCAGGAATTAGTTTGGAAAACAGCTAACTGCTGTATATTTTTAACTATTATTAACGTAAGTGTTTCCAAATGTGTAAGATCAAATTTCATAATATTTATATAAAGGAAATATGTTTATACAAGTTTAATGATCAATTAATCTTTACAAATACTGTACTGTATGTGGTTTCAATTAAGAAAAAATTCAAATAAATAAGTTGATTTCAAACCTGAGCGTATTGGATATCTGCCTGTCATTAAACCTGCCCTGCTAGGCGAGCATAATGGTGTTGCTAGGTGATGTGTCAGCATAGCTCCATCTTTGGCAAGGCTGTCAATATGTGGTGTACGAATTGTAGTATTACCAAAGCAACCTATGTCACCATATCCTATGTCATCTGCCAGCAGGATAACAATGTTCGGTTTCCTTGTTGCTGCAGCTGCTTCGTTTCTAACCACCACAATTGTGACTAACATAATATAAATGAGAACTGGCATTTTAGAATAAAATTTTTCTTGGAAGCACACAGTTAAAATAGATGCGTTATTGTACTTTTAAAGAAAATGTCCAAATTCCTCTTTCTCAAAAAATCAGCATCAGTTTTCAGTCTTGAAACTCCACTTTTGTCAGAGAAATCAGGAGACTAATATTCCAAGACATAGATTCATATCTGCAAAAAAAAAAGAAACTTTATGGTATATTTAAACTAAAACAAAAATATCATTCTTGCCAAATGCTTTTCATCAAAAATTTCAAAAAAACATATATTAACTACAGTAATATAGCTAATATTGTCTATAATTGCTTTCATAAGTTGTCATTGGTAACAGCCAGAAAAGAGCAGCATATTGCAATATCAAAACTGATAATTATGACTGGGTAATGTTTCTATGTAGAAACTAATCAGAATCATCTCTCAAAATGACTGTCACACTTTGTCTTCATATATCATTATGTTAAATTTATTTCTTTGTCTCAGTACAGTATTACTACTCAGTACAGTATTACTACTAAGAAAAGTCAGGGAGGCGTATTGGTCTATTTTTTAAAGAAAGTATACAAATTTTAGACAATAATGTTTTAAATACAAGGTTTGATAGTCTAGAAAGACTATGGGTTAAAGTAAAATTAACAAACTCTCCAAGTACAATATATTATATTGCAATTGTGTACTTCCCTTGTGAAGGTACTTAACAGCTCAAATAAATGTATTGGTACTTTTACATGGATGAAAAAACAACAACAAAGCGTCTTTTTTATGGGTTAGTTTCACAAAATGTATACGATGTAATAAAGGAATTCCTAATTGATGAGATAGGGATCTACCACTTGGGTAGTGATCACAATGTGATGATAATTGAAATTTTGATTATACAACCAATCAAACAAATCAGAATACACAGATATTGAAATTGAAGATCGGGTAATGCTGGAATATAAAGGCAGACCAAGACTGGTGACCTTTTCAACAACGTTTACGGTAAAAATGGCCCCGGAAAAAATGGCCCAGGAAAAATGGCCCAAGAAAAAAATGGTCCCGGTAAAAATGGCCGGCCCCAAATGACAGGTAGGTAAAAATGGCCCCAATAATAAAATTCTGTATTAAAATTGATTTTTAAAAATTCATTATATGCTATTTTTTAAACTGAAATAATTTAGTTTAATTTAATCTAATCAAATAAATTGATATTTACATTTTACTTTTAACAGAAATTACATATTCAATGACAAAATATTCAAAGATAAAAAAAGCCATGAATAACACTTTTTATTTTTTTCTATTTAAATGTTAACATATAGCAACAACATAATCAATAAATCAACATAAATCATGCATTTATTAATACTAAAATAATTTATTTGTGGCCAATTTAAAGGAAGCAGAATCACAATTTTCAAGAAATTCAATCCGGGTATTGGTAAACCCCACAAACAATGAGTTTATATGAACATCAAATTATTATTATTTTTTTTTTTTTTTTTTTATAGAAAAAGAGTTCTACAATCGTAATTAAAGGGTTTGGATGGGGTTCGCAGTGTGTTTGGAGGATTGTGGTGTACTTGCAAGTATTTTTTCAGAAAAAAAATTCAACATTTTAACCAAAAAATAGGTTCTTATAAATATTTTATTTTCTTATCGATATACCAAGTGAGTCAATCACAATTGAATTGTTTGGTTTTCTACAGTGTGTTTGAGGTTTTTGGGATTTAGCAATTACCATCCTACCATAATTACTTTAACCTCACAATTACACACCATTTTAATTCTTAGCATAATTGCCATATTTACATAACTATGTATATAATATATTATCTCAGTTTACATTATTTAGTATAGTTTTAAGCACTTTAATTTACATCGCGGGGAGTAGAAACCAAGTAGGCCTATGCAATTAAATAAGTTGCTTAAATAAATGTAAGCAGAACATTTGTTGAAGTAAAGTAAGCCTCCCTTTTCCCATACATGAACTTGTCAAACACACAATTGATCCACATGCTTTAACTACTGTTTATTTGCACTGTTTATAACATGTAAAGTTATTTTGTTGGGATTCAATATTTCGACATTAATTATGTCATCATCAGGAAACTCATTCCGTAAAGTTAGTTCATTTGATACTTAACAAAAGTGAATTTTGTGGTTATCTACAGTGTGAGTTGCATATTTTGGTAGTTGAACTACTGTATGTATGTCATTCCTCTACTTCGTTAGTTTAATAAAGTTTTTAAAACTTATTTGAACTATCAAAAAATGTTCAATGGCCGTTGTTTTCTGATAATCTCTCAGTACATTATTTGCATCTGCTGTGTAACTGTATTTGTTTCAATCCTTGCTTATTACAGTATTTAAATATTTGAAGATTAAAAAAAAAATATATAATTTCTATTACTGAATTTTTTCATTGGGGCCATTTTTACCTACTTGTCATTTGGGGCCATTTTTACTGGGGCCATTTTTACTGGGGCCATTTTTACCGGGCCCATTTTTTCTGGGGCAATTTTTTCCTGGACCATTCTTACCTACATTCATTGAAATGTCCATAAACACTTTGTGTCCTCAAGAACTACCTGTATTAATGATCACCTGATTTTCAGGACAATGGTGCTGTAGTTTTTGGACTAATATTAAGAATTATTCATCAATGTAGCCCAACAATAGGACATGAAATATGTCAGTATAGTTACCTAGTAATAGTACAGTATGTAAAATAAAACCAAAATAGGTTCCACCTACTTTATATACATCAACAGCCATAATATAGAGTAAAATACTTCAGGAAACATATGAAACATTCAACATTTGCGCGGAAATTGGCAGACTTATTTTTAATATGCGTGTATGGAATTTTTTCTTTGAGATAACTCTAAATCAATTTACACATAATAATTTCAACCTAAACAGAGTTCCAGAGTTTTCACCAACATTTCGGGAGTACTGAGATTCCAGCTCCCCACTTGTCAGAGGCCATTTAGGCTTCGTTTTAAGCCCGAAAAATTGACATCACACAGTCGGCCGGCGACACTTCTTATTTAGGTTATTATGTAGCCTAGAACTTAGGCCTGGGCCTGTACAACTTCAGCAAAGTATCTTATACAGTACCTACATATATAACGATCTATAGTTTCATTTTCTTGTTTAATGGTTGTTTTTATTGAGAATTATTTAAAAAAAAAAACTGGTACGCCTTCCAACTCGGAACTTCAGTATATCGCCAGAGAACATCGGCACACTTCTAGTGTTTACAAAGGTTTCGCGGAGTAACATATCCCAAACATTGCAAGTTGCAATTAATTCAATTGTTGCACTTTATTAATTCCACATTTAAAATTTAATCTTTAAATATTCATTTATACAATTCAATTTTTATATTATTTCAAAACATGATTAAACAATCATTTTGCTTACTTTCTGCTGATACTTTGTTAAGAACGAAATAAATTGTAGTAAAGGAGTTCCTTTCTATATTATTTCATTTAATTAGGTTTCAAAATTTGCTGTGAGACCTATTTGTTTGTTTGTTTGTTTGTAAATTTCAAGATGTTGCTCATTGAGATGCATGTTGTTAAACTATAGCTGCTCCGTGAAGTCGTCTGGCTGAGGTTATCATCAAAGAGTATTTTATACCCTTTGTTATCATCAGTCATGTGATTTAAGAAGCGTAATCTTATTTCATAATGTATGAGGTTTAGGTAATTCGTTTGGTTTTCAATAAAAGATGTCTGCCTTAATACCGGTAGTACTTTGAATATAATCATCCAGATGATGCCTAATTGTATTTATTTACGATCTATTTAGAGTTAAATTTTGATTATTGCTTGATCTGGGCCGTTCACATCATATAAGTCAATACTGTATACGATCGTTTGAAATTTCGGTACATAGTCTATTTTATGAACAAATACGTTAAGGAAACGTTCACAATTACGAAGAGGTACAGGTAAGAGTAGCACTCAATAAAATAGTAAAAAATCGAGCAATCCGATGTTTTCATACCATCTCCTTCGCTTTGACGGTGATCGCTTATTTACCAAGAATAAGATGAGCGCACATCGACACGGTTTTAGTGTACGACGTCACACTTTAACAGTCTAGGTCATGCTGATTGGTTGATACAGTACATGTAAAATGAATGATAGCA